TGTGTCAGGGGGAGGGGTCATGGAAGGGTTGAAAACAAGCTCCACAGGAAAAGGAAAAAACATACGAATTCTACTTCCTCCAAAAAGATAAAAGACCCCACTTGGCCACCACCAGCCAGGCTGCAGCCAGCAGTGTGGACCCTGACACAGTCTCCTGGGTCCTGCCTCTTCCGGCTCCCGCCCCCTCCCCAGAATCTGGGGGGAGAGGAAAACCAATGCTGGAAACGCAGGGCAAGTTCAGCAGCTTGTAGTCAGCTCTGGTGGGGAAGGGGGAGGAGCTGTGCTTCCTGGCCAGAGGCAGAGGGTCAGTCTCTGGAAGGATCGGCCCACTCAACAATGAGGAACAGAAATGAAGAACATCACTTCTACTGTATGTAATGCAAAGGTCTGACCGGAACAAAGCGGCCCTTGCAGCCCAGGCCAAATCAAAGGCCAAGTCGCTGTGGATGCACTGCAGAGCAGCTGCCGTGACCCCAGCTGAAGCGCAGGAGAGGAGAAGGGGTGATGGGGAGGGGGCCTCCTTCCTCCCGAGATTCTGGAAGCTAGGAGAACACTCGAACTCGAGAAACAGGAGAAGAGAGGCAGGGCAACCTGGGGTCAGATGCTGGCAAACACAAACACAAAACGTGCAGGCCGCCTCCTCATAGGAATGCTGACCAGAGATGGGTGGACAGGAAGGGGTCCACCAGAGGAGAGGCTCTGAAGAGCCGGCTCTAAGCCGCTTACGGAGGGTGAGGACAGCTGGATGGCACCCGGAGGGGAGAGGAGCCGACCCAGGCTGACATGGCGTGAGCTCCCCACAAGAAGCAGGGCCGGCAGGGCCCTGTGGTGGGAGGCTGAGAGGGGTGTGCAGGCCGAGAGGAAGGGGGGGGTGGCAGGTGAGCGCCGGATGCCTTCAGGGAGGCCTCCATCGGAGACAGCCACAGCAGCCCAGACACTTACCCAGAGCTGAAGAGCCTTTCTAGGAGAGAAAAGCCTCAGAGAAAGGACTGGAACGCGGGGGCACATGGCCCAGGGGGAAGAACAGACCAAACAGCTGACGAGGGAGGAACTGAACCACAGGATGGAAAGGAAGGGGCCGGAAGTCTGAGCGGAGGATGACAAAGGCGATGCCCTGCAGAAGCCCCGGCAGGGCATAGCACTGCCCCCATCCCACACGTCATGGGAGGGGGCAGGTGTTTCAAACCCTCGGGGCCCCGGGGAAGGCTGACGGAGGCCGTCACTAACCCCAGCCAGGGGAGGACGCTGGGAAGGTAACCTGCTCAGGCAGCGCACGTCTGCCTGCCAGCGTCCGGCAGAAACTGACAGACGCCAAGGTGCGTGACCTCAAGTCAACACACCCCAGCGTGCTTCCAGCACCTCTCAAACAATGAGGCGGACCCAATTTACAAGGCTGATGTTCAGGAAAGTGAGGCGTGGTGGCGACAGAGGTATTTTATCAGTGCTCGGCTACTGTTTATTTCAGAGGAGACATTTAAAATTTTTACATTTCCTATTTAGAGAGGTCTGCATTTTTCCAGTTTCAAATCAATTAGTCACACTGAGCTATTCATAGCCCTGGACGGTTTCCATCGTGTTTATTCTATGAACAGCCTAAGAAACCCTGCAAAGTCCTGCTACGAGGCTCCTCCCTAGAGCCTTGTCAAGTGTGAGGTCAGCCACAAAGCCTCGTCCCGAGAGTTGAAGGTCAGTTTCCAGACCTCAGGGACCACATCCCGGCTGCCCTGCAGATCCAAGGTGCTGGTGCATGGCTGAACCTTTCGGGCTTCCTGAGGGTGCCGGGAAGCACCGCTTCCTGAATCTGACTGGCGTCTGAGTTTTTGGAGGAAGACGAGTTCGAGGGTGGATGATGTCTTTGTCTCTGGAATGACGAGGCACCTGAATTCACTTAAGGCTCGGCATCTGACCACATCAAACCGCGTTCCTGGGGGTGGAGAGCTTAGAGCAGGGCTGCGAGGATGGAACACGCGGTCTTCCCTCACCAGGGCCACGTGAGTGTTCAGAAGGACGAGCGAATGGCAGGGGCCTTGGCCAGAGTCACCCTCGACTCTGACCGTCGTGTAGAGCAAGAGCTGAGCCTCTGCCAGAGACGGGGCGCCGGCGTCCAGGTTGCTGTGAAGGAAGTAAATCAGGTCCACCAGGATATTCTGGAATCTGGATGATAACCGGACTCCGTTTGCCAAAACTAAGTCAGGGATTTCTGCCTTCCAGTCAAGGGAGAGCTGGACCAGATCTTCCCGGAACAAGGGATGCTCGGCGCAGGCGGCGGCCTCAGACACAGACGCAAGGACACACAGAAGGTCCCGGCATATCTGCTGGCAGAGGTTCTTGTTGTAAGGAAACACAGTGAGCAGCAGACTCTCTGTAGAGCCCAGGAGCCGAACGCTCTGCCCACCAAAGCCAACCTCAATCTCCCGGAGCCCAGAGAGGGGCAGGGCGTGAAACACACCCACAGAGCCTGGGGGGTCCAGAACCAGGGCGTACAGGGCGGAGCTGAACAGCAGCAAGCACGCAGGCTGGGGCGCCGGCTCTGCGCAGCTGGCCACGGCCAGCCAGTACATGGCTCGGGGTACATCCGTGCTGTCCCAGAGTTCTGGTAGGGAACCGGCCACCAGCTCAAGGAAGTCTGTGAAGGGGCATTCTTGAAGTTTCAGCATTTGGTCTGGGAATTGCACAAGGGTCTGCTTAAACACAGAGCACCTTCTGGCACCTTCCAGGTCCAGGCAGGAGACAGAGCCCAGTGAGGAGCCTGAGAACTCGGTGGCTGCGGGGCCAGCAGGCCGGCCCAGGGCTCGGTAGGGCGCCAGGCTCCCCGCCCGCCCCACGGCCCCTGCCTCGTCCCTGCTGCCAGCCTGAGCTTCCGTGTGGAGAAAAAGTGCTTCTGCTGCTGCCCCACCCATCTCCAGGAGCCTGTGCAGGGGTGAGAGCTTCAGAATCGGCAGCCTCGTGAGGAAGGTCGCTGCCTGCGAGGCCAGCCGGCTGGGGTCACACAGGCTGCCCACGAGCCGGACTTGGCCGACAGCCTCTGCACCTGCCCGCAGCAGGTGGCCGCTGGTGTCTTTGTAAAGGTCTGAGACCCACTGGTAAACGAACCCCAACCCACGGCTTCCCTCTGGCTCAACAGTCATCAGGGACTCCGGAGAGCTCACGGCTCGGGCTCCTGCCTCCTCCCAGCGGAGCTTGGAGGCCAGTGCCGCTGGGGGGACACTGGCCCGGGGGACCCTATCAGAGAGAACGAAGCAGAGGAGCTGGCTCCGCCAGGTCTGCTCGCCCCTGCCGTCCACGGACACTTCCTGGGATGTATGCTGCAGCCAAGTCCAGCTGGACGTGAGCCCCGTGCTGGGTCCACCTTGAGGACTCGTCGGCTCGCTGAGGTTTTCTGACTCACCATGAGAATGTCGCGCACCGCGGATGCTGCTTTTGCTAAGAGGAGAGGTTTCAGTGAGATTAAGGCTTTCTGGTTGAGAGTCGCCTCTGTTACAACTGCTGCTACGTGACGGCTCGTGCTCCGAGGGCCGAGACCCCCACTGGTTTGCTCCCCAGCCTGGAGCTGAGCAGCAGGCAGAGGGACCGGGGATGCTCCAGGTGATGGGCAGGCTCCCGTGGCGGTTCTGATCCACCTCCCCCCTCTCCTCTCGGCCGGGGGCATCAGTGACGTCTCTGGGCAGCAATGGGGCAGGACAGCTCTTCTGTCAAAAACAGGTGAAAGGGGGCTGTGGCATCTTTTGCGATTCTTTTTGCATGAATGCAGATTCCTGCGGTCATTGGTTTTATCGTGTGGATTAATGCAGAGGTTCAATCGTAACCAAAGTCATTTGTGTTGATTGACTCATGATTTCAGAATAGAGGAACTGATTCACACACAGAGCATCAATTTCTGTATTTCACATCTTATAAATTGCCAAGTATTTTGATAGGAATATGTTAGATGGGATTGAGCCACAGTATCCATTTCTTGGTCTAAAATTCTACTCTTAAAAAAAAAGACAAAATCCTAAGGCCTTTGATTCAATTTTCCAGGTGGCAAATTTAGTTGTGAAAATAAGTCCTTGAGTAAATGTCCAAAATGTAAGAGTAACCGGGGGCATACTTAATGTGAATGAGAAACTGGCAAGTATTCCAACCTCATGTGTTTCTCTGGCCTCTTGGTCTGTTTCATGGGAATCCTTCGTGTACACCTGCCCTGGTTAGAGCACCATTACAGTATCTGCAAACCAGCACCACAAAAGGCTCATGGCCAGCCTGCTACAGGCTAGACATGTGGACACAAAGAAGTGAGAGGCAACATCCTTTTCTTCACAAGGTCATCTCCTGAGGAGTCGGACGTTCAGAGGGAGACAGCGTTATTCCCGGATGGGTAGGATGGAGGGGGAGATGGTCCGTCTCCTGTAGGACATCCACCCCTCTGTCACTCACTCTGTTCAGTGACCTAAGATTTCTACCACCTCCTAGTCTTGCTTTTTTTTTTGGCTTTTTAATTTAGGAGTGTATGGGAAGGACAAGTCCCTCAGTGGAGGAAAATACAAGAAAAGTCTTATAAATCGTATGCCCAAATAAACCCTGGTTTGACAAACCACTGGAGAAATAAGCTACCCAACCAAGAGTGTTTCCTCTGTGCCACTGCCAGCATGGTCCATAAACAGGCAGGGTTCCTAACACATCGGGAAGTACTCGGGTTCATTTCCAAACCCCCTATCTGATTCTGATTATATAATTCAGCCTCTTAAATGCAGACCAAGAGAAAGGATACTGTTACGAATGAAAAACTGGGTAGAGGGTCTCTACCACAGCTACACACATTCAAATAAAGTCAGAGCAGTTTGCAACCGGCAGGATTCCGTTTAATTTTTAAGTCATATAATAGCTTGCCTTGCCTATTAGCCATTAATCTCACTGGGACTTCGAAATTCTAATTATGCAACTAAACATTAAGAAAATTTAATCACACAAGCATGCCATAATTTAAGGCGACCCTATCAATCTGAAAAGTCATTACCTACCTCATATTTTAGCTTACGTTGAATGGTGCCATTGTGGAGTTTCTCATTATCCTGAAATGAAAATAAAAGCCCTCTATATTAAATTACAGCATGTTCACATAGGGGAAAAAAAAACTGATTTGATTAGAATATTTATGAGAACAAAATTGTAAAGAAACATACTTGTCATTCAACAATGACCTTTCTTGAGAGTTTATATTTCCAAGGTAAACGTGACTGTATGGATCTATCTGCCTATTAATGGAACTGAACCATTTATTCCTAACCTTAAAATTTGCAACATAACATTAAATGCAAGATTTCCTTAGGATACTTCTTAATTTGTAGGATAGGAAGGAAATGACTTCATTTTGATAAAAATCAACTAGTCACAAGTATGTATCCTCTCAAAGGCAAAACTGTTATTTCTACTTGGGATAATTTATCAAGTGAATTAAATACGAAATTGATTATATTTTTGGAGAGAACAGAAGTTACGTGTAGAATTTTTGTAAATTAAGGTAAATAAAACATTTTAGGAAACTTCATATTCACTTAAGAATTTCCCCCAGAAGTTCAAAATGTTCAATTAAAGTTACTCCTGAAATAAGACTATTTGTAAACAAGCTCCACCCAAGTAATATTTAATTATTCGAGAACATTTTATATCTCAATTTTCTCACTGAAAAACTGTAAATGAAAGATCACCACCCCCGGCTGCTTAATGAAAAGTCATCTTGAAAACGACACCCGGACCACAAGCTCCTTCGCTCACCTTCACAGTGTCCGCAGGTTCACTGCTGCCATCACCAACCACACGCTGCAGGTCCTGCAGGCGTCTCTGGACCTCCTCCTCAATGTACGCACTGATCCTGAAAGCCAAGGGGACGGGAGTCCATGATCCCGTCTAACCACACCCTTGGCAACCAGAAGCCTTCTCCTTCTAAATGCTAAACATAGCTAACTCAGAGCCTCCAACCTTTGCCTTCTAAGAAATGTGACATCGCATATTCACTACCTTGGGTTTTCCTCCAACAAGAGGCCTGGACAAATTACCAAATCCTGGGAACAGAAGGGAGACTCAGTTATCCCGTCCAAATTCCCTCTGATGTCCCAGGCAGAACGCCTCCTGTGGGACAAGGAAGAGTCAGAGACCCTCCACGGACTCAGGACTGACTCTGAGACCCAGCACTTCCCTCACTGAGCCGCAGTTTCCTCACAGACACTGGTGATAACTATTTGTCACAAAACACAGTCATTTCAGAGGATTAAAAGGCAAGACAAAGAGGCGGGTGGGTCTCCGCGGATCTCCCCACGGGTGGCACGCTGTCTCACCTCACTCCTCCTCTCTCTCGTCGCTGCATCTGGCCGTGAGTCACGACGCTTTACAGGTCTCTACCTGCCAAAAGGCCCGGTGAAGGGCCAAGACAGTGGAAGCCGGAAACAGCTGGCTTCTGAGGCAGCTGCCAGTCGAGTATCTGGCACTCCACGCAGTACACAGAGGAAACTGTATAAAGGGCAGCCATCCACCCACAAGAACCAGGGAGAACAGAGGATTTTGGCTCCATCAAAATCTTTCCAGTGACTCAGGCCACCCAAAGGCAAGGCTTTCTCAGTTCTAGGCTCCTGACTCAGGGTCTACAGATGCTGAATTACACAGATGGTTTTAAATGGGCTGTTTTGCATGTTTACATCTTGGCACACTAAAAAATTAAAAATCTGGTTTGATCTAAGTCTACACAAAATTCTAAAAACATTTCTGTACTACTGACCATGGCTAAACAACTTTCAGATATGCTGGGTAAAGAGATTAATATTATAGGTAAAATAGCCCAAAAGAATGGTGCAAGGGTAATGGAATACAGTATTTACATTTCAGTATTTCAGTAAAGAAAATCATATACAACTGAATATGAGCCAAGGCCTCCTACAAACAAATTCTCTCCCTGAACCTTTACTTAAATTTTAAGTGCCACAGAGCACAACCTAGGTTTAAAAGACTTCTGAGGTTTGTGCCATTCTGAGTACATTTTGATATCTGAATAGCTATCTCCTAGTACCCAGGGCTCAGGACAGTACAGTTTGATATGCCCCCATGGCATAGACGGGGTGAAGGAAACAATCAATTTTCTTCCAGGCAATAAATGAATAGGTTGATTTAGCTGAAGGCTCCAAGCCACAGATCAACTCATGATGCCACCCAAGTCGAAGATCACTTTCCTATAGTAACATCAGATATGCATGCGTGCTCTTCATGGTCATTCTGAATATATGGTATAATCTCTGTGGTATCTATTTGTAACCAATGACTTCTGTAAACTACCGGTCAGCACAAGGTCCTCCGTGGTACAATCCAATTACCTCTACTTTGCTCCTCTCGACCTGGCCTGGCATCACTCCTTTCTGGTTCTCCTGAACCTTTTTTTTCCTTTAAATATTTATTTATTTGGTTGCACTGCGTCTTAGTTGTGGCCTGTGGGATCTTCCTGGCATTGCTCGGCATCTTTCACTGTGGCACACAGATTCCCCAGCTGCGGCATGTGAGATCTTAGTGCCCCAATCAGGGAGTGAACAGATGTCCCCTGCATTGCAAGGCAGACTCTTAACCACTGGCCCACCAGGGAAGTCCTTCCCTGAACCTTTTAACAATTCTACCTTCTTACACAAACTACTTCCATCAGCATTCTTCAGATTTGACTGGCCGAGTATCCGGTCTTGAGCCCTTTTAAAGGACATCTCACCCCACCAGGGGCCAGGCAGCAGCTGATCAAGACAAATATGTCTTGGGGACAAGTACTGCTCATCATCTTGTATAGAGCCCTTCATATGCACCTGGCCAATACAGGGCACCCTGAGTCATCAAACCACGTCACAAACAGGCCTGGCATCAGTGTGCTGTTGAGTACCTCGCATCCATCAGAGGGACCGGGTGAGATTTTTCTGCACTGGATGGGAAGCTGGAAGCAGCAGGCTTTCCCTCTAAGGTCCCACGATGCCCTTTTTGAACACCATCGACCTCACAGATCTTCAGCTTCAACTGCTGGATTTCATGTTCTAACCTACAAAGATGGAAGTTATGTGAATTCACTCATTAATTCACTTATTAATTATTATTAATTCACTTATTAATTCACTCAGTGTCTCCTGAGCTTCTTCCCTAGAAACCACAGGAGGTCCAGACAAAAACTGCCCAAGGAACTTTATCTTCTGGTAGAAAAGGTACTGCAGCCCTATAGGATAATGTATAAGGTGGTAACAAGCCACAAGAGAATTTCAGGACAAATGCCACAGACATCCAGGAGTTAAGAGTTCTACATCATGGGCAAAGGTATTCCCACTGTGCCCAGTAAATCCTCAGAGGTGCAAGTGCAGGATTCGGAGCCCTGACCCTGGCTTCAACAAAACAGTTGGTTGTGGACTATACATCATATCCCAACAAGGATGTCTATTTGACAAAAGAGATTTTTGTTTTAAAGAATCTTTCAAAACCGCCGATCTAGGAGGACCTTCAAGGTCCAGGCAGTTCTAAATTGAGTCCGCGCAGGCCAGTGGGAATCTGGCATTTGGAGACGACAGTGAACGGTATTCCAGGTGCAGAAACAAAGGGACCAAGCCACAAAACCAGGAACCTGCTCTGGCTAAGGCAGAGGGTGTGGAAAAGGGAAATAGGTGAGAGAGACCTAGGAAAACAGGCTGAGTATCTACAGAAATTAATAGAAACCATAAGCTGCGGAACCAAACATTTACTTTCAAAGGCAGACGATACAGCTAATACAAGGTCAAGTAGGTATGAGGCTGGTCTCCCACTGGCGCAGGCGTGACTGAATCCAGGGACATCAGGCCAAAGAGCCAAGCTGGCCAGTCAAGTGTGTCCTGAGGAACACTAGACCCCTCTGGGGGCTGCAGCCCGCTCACTGCTATGAGGCCTGGATCTCAGCGTCTTCGTGTATCAAATGAGAGAGTAACTAGTCTCTCTAAATTCCTTTGGGTCCAAAATTCAGAGATTCTGGCTTTAGACGCCGACACGCTACGACACTGCCAGCTCTCACGTCACCAGCAGCAGTCTGACTGCTCTGCTCTGATCATGAAAGCCAAGTTCTTGGTTCTCGGACATATGATTATGGGATCACCACAGTAGGCGCTCCTGGGTTTCACAGGAGGCAATGCCCAGCTTAACTCAGCCATTCATCTGCCTACTGATTACCAAGTGCCAGCCTGCAGAGCACAGAGCATTGTCAAAGGAAAAGCGAGCGGGCACAGGGGAGGGATGTCAGCGCCCAGCTGGGGGCAGGGATCCAGGGAACGAGGTCCACACATCTCAGAGATGGTAAGGAAAGACAGCCGATTCAAGTAGCTGGTGGCCAAGGTTTATGATTAAGATGAATCATGAAGTTGTTCAAAGTCATCCTTCAGGGCTGGGCAGTGGGAAGGACTCCCCCAGAGCAAAGAGGCTCTGGTGGGGCTCTGAAGGCTGAGCGGGGTTTACATGGGTGGCAAGGGACAGCAGTGAGTCCCAAGGAAAGGGTCGCAGCACCCATGAAAAACTGGTCTGCCTGGCAGCAACTCTGCGGTCAGCAGACAAGAGGACAAAGGAGCCACGAGCTGGTGTTGAGGGGCAACCCTGCCACTTTCCAAGTGCCTGACACTTGTCCCCTGTGGTTATATAACCATCGAGGAGGAAAGAAGAAGAAAACGGATTAAACCGAGCTCATAAAGCAAGCTGGCAGAGGAAGACAAACGCAGTGCAGTGTTGGTCCAATCTGGCTCCATGTGAATCTAGTATTTTGCACTTTGGAAAATTCACAAGTGGTCACGTCAGGGTGCACAGCAGGCCCAGGCTCAGTTGGGAGAGCCCAGAGAAATAATAAGACACAAAACCAAGACCCCCAGAATGCTACAGGACTGTCACAACCACAGCAAAGCACGGAGAATCTGCCAGCCTCAATCAGGGCTTTGCAAAATCTACTCCCATCAAAACACACGAAGCTAAAAGCCTCCTTTGCACAGCTTCCAGAGAAATGCTGACACTGGGAAACCACTAAAGTGTACCTGCTATAATCGAGTATTAATACTAAATGGCCAGGGAGCGAGGCCGGCTGACAGAAGCCAGGGACGGCAGGCTCCAAGCCCCGCTGCATTCTCACCGTGAAGCGCAGGAGACAAACTGAGAGCATACCCTCCTCTGCTTTGCATTTCCTGGGGCTGGAGGTTTGTCCAGCAATTTCATGTATGTAACATACCATCATTTTCTTAAACCTCAGACCTATTTCTCTGAAGTCACAGCATTGTGGGTTTTGCTTGCTTCATCTGTCACTGTTTTGCCTGAGGGAATCACCGGGGAGCTTGGTTAAGAGAATCATTTAAGCAGATGGTTTGAAAGGAGGCTGTCCTGACCCTGGTGATGACTGGGAGCTCCAGCAGCACCTCACGGTAGGTCTTGCCTTGTCACCGCATGGATCCCAAGCCTCTGCCCACGTCAAGCTGGGCTCGACAAGCCAGCAGGTGGCTTCTGCTGCAGCCCCGAGGAAGGTGTGGGAGGCGGGGAGGACTTCCAGGGAGGCAGGGAGCCTTCCAGCCCCCTGTACTGGGGCTTCAGTTGGGATCCCAGTAGACCAAAGGGTCTGGAATTACTAAAGAAAAGCTCCACGTCCTCCTAAGGGTAAGGACAAACCCTGCGGCCCCAAGACGGAAGAGCCCGTCCATGCTAAGCAGGGCAGGAAGGGGCTGGGCAGGGGACGAAGCCCCCTTGCAGAACACCACATCTGGAGACATTTGCAAACCAGGTGGCTGCCAGTCTCGCTAGAGTCTTGGCATCACACCCACAGGGTTAGCAGAAAAAGCACCCTCCAGTGTGTATATTTGTTTTGAGGCCCTACCTCCGGGAAGCATGGGGACAGGGAGGTGGAGGAAGAGAAACACTCTTCCTTTACCATGAACACAGCCCTGGCTCCTAGTTCACAACCTCGGAAGTATCAGTAAATCATCACCAAATAAGCCTGGAGAGACGTGTGTTCAGAACATCTGGAGAGCTTTATTTTTTCATTCCGAATCCTGAGGCCTCCCATCAAACACCGAGAACCCCCAGGGTGGGGGGGAGGACTGCTTCTCAGCTCACTGCCAGGCGTGGAAATCGGTGTCTACACCACCTGTGAACTCAGGAGCAATCCCTCATCAGAGTAAGTGCTGCTCATCCTCACGGAGATGCTGAGGTGTGGGCAGGAGAGAGGGAGGGAGGGGTGGGGGGTGGAGATCAAGAAACAAGAATGGGGGGAGGGGCGGGGAAATCGGGCTGGAAGCCTTTTCAGTATTCCACGTTTATTAAAATATTACGTACACGATTAGAGGTCACTGAGGTAACAGACCAGGACTTGGTTTTTGTGTTTTTTCAAATTTAGGATGGTGATTCTAAAACAAGGATTCTAAGGAAAAAGAAAAGAAGGCTTAGCCTTCACTGCTGTATCAGTCAGAGATACAGCATTCAGGGGTAGAAACCAAGCTATTAACCTAATGCCTGGGGGCCCGGAGGGTGTGGCAGGCGCCCCCTGGGCCGCGCTCACCTCTCCCGATCCTTCTGCAGGGCTTCCTGCCCGGCCTGCTCGCCGCCAGCGGCCCGGGCGCAGCGCCTCTGCAGCGCGGAGTGCCTCCTCTCCAGCCGGGCCACCGCGCGCTCCAGCGCCTCGCGCTGCTGCTGCTCGCGGGACTCCAGGATCTCCTTCTCCTTCCGCCTCACCTTCTCCTCCTGCCGGGCCACGTTGGCCGTGAACTCGAAGGTGGCCTGCAGCTTCTGCAGCTGGCTGGCACTGGCCTGGTACTGCGCGAGCTGTTCTTCCTTTTCTTCCATCTCTTTCTCCACTAGGTACAGAGTGTTGTCCAGGCCGAGAGGGCCTCGGTCGAGGATCTCACGGACTCTCTGCTTCTCCTCCGACAGCCTAGGCAAATGCTGCTGCAGGAGGTCCTCGAGCTGACGCTTCTTACACTGCAGCCTGCCCTCCGCCGGCCCGGGCCCCCCCACCGCTCCGGCTGCCCAGAGGACAGCCGCGCCGCCCTCCTCCTCCTTTTCCGACCCCCTCAATTCTTCCTGGCTGCCAGATGGTAAGCGCTCGCGGAGGATTTCCTGGTCCTCCTCCACCTCCCGTTTCAGGAGGTCCTTCTGCTGCACCAGGTCCTTCTCCAGGTTGGCCAGCGTGGCCAGCTGCCTCCGCTTGAACTCTAAGAACCGCAGCTGCACCTGCTCGAGCTCCGGGCCGTCGCCACCCCCCTCGGCCCCGGCCTCCCTGGCGCGCAGGAGGGCGGCGCGGATGCCCTCCAGGTGCCGGCGCTCCTCGGCTGCGCGCTGCGCCTCCCCGCACCGCGGCGGCCGCAGTAGCTGCTGCTTCGCGTGGAGCTGCGCCTCCAGCTGCGCCACGCGCAGGACCTGCTCCCGCTCCTGCTCCTCCAGCCGCTGCTTCTCCCGCTCCAGCTTGGCGTACTGCCCCTCCTTCTCCCTCTTGAGTCGCTCCAGCTCCTGAAATATCTGCACCTTCTCGGCCTTCTCGTGGCTGTTGAGTTCCTGCAGGCGCTGGAGCTCCTCCTGGGCACGCAGGAAGCGCTCCTCCTCCTGCTTCCTCTTCTGCAGCTCCGCCTCCTGCTGCTCCCGCTGCCTCGCCTCCTCGAAGCGCTCCTTCTCGGCCAGCAGGTCCTTGAGCGTGCTCTCCAGGTGCGAGCTGCGCCGTTTGAGGCTCTCCTCCTGCTTGCGGATCTGCCGCTGCGCCATCTCCGTCTCCTGGCGCTGCGTCTCCACCTCCTGCTGCATCCGCTCCAGCGCCGCCTTGTCGGACTTCTGCTTCTCCTCCATCTCTTCTATGAGTTTTCTGAAACGCAAAGCAGTGACGGGGTGTTATTTGATGGCTAGCTTCACATGCTGCTCTGACTTCTCCCTGAACTGGTATGTCCTGGAAATGGACTTACACTGCACACCCTTCACCAGAATTTTAAAAAAGAGAACAGCACTTTCCTTTTAATATCCAGTGGCCTGCCGTTTAATTTTTTTTACTCTGTAACTGTCCAACATATCATTTGCCTAATCTCCTCGAGTAGCCTCTGATATCATTTCTTTGTAGTGCCTATAAGCATAATGTGTTATGCATGATATAATTTTAAAAGACCCCTGAGCTCAAAGAGAAAGAGCCGTGCCCAATTTAAATTTAAATGTGAAAAATTTTATTCAGCCCAGTAGCTAAAACTCAGTGGAAATTCAGTGACAAAATGACATTAAATAAAAATGCTTATGCTGTCCTCAACTCATCGGGGTCAAATATCAAAGTCAAGATAATCAACATTTTCATTGTTCCAGGTCAAGTAACTACACGCTGTTGAGCATTTAATCACTAGTTTAGAACAAACAGCAATCACCAAGTGACCCAAAATATTAGTTTATTAATGCATAACATTGAAAATAATGGCAATCTCCATTAGAATACTTAAATGCATGATTCCAGGGGCTATGTGTCAAGTGTCTGAGAGAGCAAAGGATCCCCACGGGGTGCTAACTCAGTGTTTCAAGGTTGGGAGGGCCTCTAGAGCAAGAGCCCAGGGTGCTTCAGAGTGTGCCTGCAAGATCTCTCTCCTGACCCACCCAAGCCCTATCTTACATGATGCTGGGAGCTAAACGAATTCATGTGTAACCTCCAGACTCCACCTTCTAGGAAATAAATATCCAGGGTACAGATTTTCTGTGGCCTTACTTTCTATGCTAGTATCTGTCGTTGGTCCATTTCTTGGCTTGTTAGATAGAACGGGAAAAAAAATACAGCTTTTTCAAAGTATTATATTCAGAACATATTAAAAAAGCCTCTCCAAATCAATTAAATAACCACACACACACACACACACACACCCCAAAAGAAAAGGGAGCTGAGAACATGCAGAGGTGGAGTAGAGAAGGTTATACAAATGGCCAATCAACATAAGGAAAGATGTTTAAAAAGTGAAAAGGCATAAGAAGGGGAACTGCCATTCTTTTGGCTTTTTTAAAACTCAGGGGATATTATTAAGGAAGATATACTTTTTAGTTAAGTTTAAATACATCTATTATTTGGTGTATTACATTTAATGAGTGTAGCAAATTTGCCTACTGACTCTATTCCCTCTCACAAGTATTTGAAGATGAACTAATTTTAAAAATCCAAACATTGAGGCTAACCTGGTGGTCCAGTGCATAAAGACCCTGCACATCCAATGCAGGAGACACAGGTTCACTCCCTGGTCCAGGAAGTAAGACCCCATGTGCCATGTGGCACAGCCAAGAAAAAAAAAAAATTAGTAATTAAAAAACAATTAAAAATTCAAACATGAAGTAAAATTGACCAGCTAAAGAACAATGAGTTGCAGTCATCAGATGTGTAAATGATGGACACTGAGCCAGAGGGGAGCAACAGACGCAGGGGAAGTCAGTCTAGAACGTCAACACAGGCGAAGACTCCATACCACGTGACTTACCTTTTACTTTCTAATTTCTCAAGCTCTTCACGCTGCTGCCGCTCAAATTCAAGTCTAATAAAATCAGATGAAAAACGAGTTACTTTTCTGGAAGTGCTTTTTCACTCTTTCTTTCTCTCGGAAGAGCATCAGTTTGTCAAGCATGATTTTTAATCGCTGTGGATTAGCAAGCTTAAAATGTATTCTCTGCTCTATAACTATGATTAGAAATTAGACATATTTTGGGGTGCTTGAATTCAGGCTGAGAAGGAACATACTTTACTTGAAGAAAAGGAAACAAAAAACGCTATACGAAAGTCCATATAGTGGAAGCGTTTCCACTATATGGAAGAAGCAGAGTTAAAGACGACTTCCAAATGAGAAGCATGCTAACCCCATGCAGTTTAGTCCCGGATTAGTACAAAAAGAAGAACAATCTCTACCTTAGACAAATGGGTCCTTTTATAGGGAAAAAACTGCCAGGGAGGTAGAGAGAGAGAGCACAGACATCAATTAAGAAGAGAATTAACTGGGGAAACATCACAAGAAAAGCAGTAAGATACTTAATAGCCAATTGTCATGCACAAATTGAAACGTCTTTTCATACATATCACATATCCCAACCTTCCCAAGCAAATACTCCAGAGTTGGCTGTTAGGTTTTGCACACTTCCCAGAATAATTATAGTGCTAATAATAACTGAGTGCCAAAAATAACTGCCCACAAAAGTCAAATTTATACTTTTACTACTTTATAGATGCTTCTACTGTATGTAGGTTTCTCAAGATCCTCCTGTAGTCAGTAATTATATGATATAGTAGCTCCTGGGGGCTACAGAGATGATGAACAGATTGACCACATTGGTAGCAAAATAAAGGGAGCTAGGTCACTGGGCAATTTAAAATTTATTAAAATACAGATAACAAAAGTTGATTTCTTCTCAAATACTAGCTTGAATTACTTCAAGGTTGCACTATACCTTTTAAACAGCATGAACTGCAATTGTTAAACTTACACCTTTTCCTGTTGTGGGGGACGGCAGATACAGTAAAAAAGCTACACTATGGAAAAATTCATTGTCAACTGTTTTCCTGTTTTCCTAACATGCCAAATCCAGGTTGGCAACAGTTACCTTTATGATGAGCTAATGAAAATTCAAACATATCTGTCACCAACTGAATTTGGGTTACAACTGAGAGTACGATGTCTCAGGTGCGGCAGTGGGGGTGGGGGCAGGGGCAGGGGGTTGGGAGCAGAACTGAGTGCTGTGCTGAGAGGTTTACACATTTGCTTACTCTGCCTTCCAGCAAATCCTGAAGACAGCACACAGCATAAACCCATTAACATATCAGGAGCCCAGAGTTCAGAGATGGGAAAGAACTTGTTCAAGATCAGGAAGGTAAGACACGGAGGAACCAGGATTTGAACCCACAACAGCCTGCTTCCAAAACATGCTAATTCATTCATTTTATGAGCAATGCTTCCAGTTTATGATGCATAATAAAAATATTAAATCCTTCATTGAAACTTATCATTTAGGTTTATATTTATTTTTCTGTCAAATGAAAATGGTCTGTAGATTATAGATACTGCCATCCATGAGAAGTCAATCATAAATCTATATGAAGAGTATTTGCCAATTCCCAAGTCTTATCTACATGCCATTACACTAAGTAGATGCAGGGCTTCATTAAAGTTCATATATGATCATTCTCTTTATATAATGGTAAACAGATCCTTGGGAATGATTCCTAGTATGAGACTTTGATACAGTTTAGTCTTCTTAGAGGTAGACTAAAAAAAAAAATCACTGGCTAAAACATTTTCAAAACCTGGGGATTTTCCTTGAATTGTCTTTATTCTCAATTTTTATCTTCTGTGAACACTGGCTCAATGTGACTATCAGCGGACAACACGGCTCTCCTCTGACAATGTCACAAAAGAACGGTCATAAGCCAAATGCTGCTCTGAGAGGTTCGAATGAAAACCTATCACAGGACTTAGGAACTTTCCTGGAGTTTCAGAGGTTACAAGCCTGTCCTTACAGTGCAGGGGGCATGGGTTTGATCCCTGGTTGTTGAACTAAGATTTCAGGTGCCCTGCAGTGTGGCCAAAAAAAAAAAAAACAACACAACAACAAACCCCTATCACAGGACAGTTCACAACTTGCAGGTGCCGGAATGCACTGCGCATGCTATGCCCCCACTTTGCTCTCTAACCTCTGCAGGTCTCATCTCATTTTATAGGCCAGGAAACTGAGGCTTGGAGCAGGCAAGTAGCAGAGGGAGGGCTTGAACCAATTTGGAACTAAAATCTGTGCTAACCTCTACAACTGCTGGTAAATGGTGTCCAAGGGTCGTAACATGTGAGTTTTAGTATCTGCGTCTTCAGGCTGACACTCAGCACCTATGATTTTACTGAGCCCAGTGCCAGGCGCTGTGCAAGGCGCCAGGGATACAGTGTCTAAGAAGGGAGCTGTGGCCCCTGCCCCCTTGGGGCTTCCAGCCTGTAAGTGACAATGGGATAAAACCGGGAAGAGCACCCAGTGAGTCACGAGCCAGAGTGAGGAAGGACAGTGTTACACCTGACACATGGAGCCGGTGCAGATCTCAGAATTTGGCAGGATGAGAATCAAGGCAAGACCCTCAAGGGAACTTCCACCTAGGCTATGACAGTCTTCCTCATGACGATGAAGAAGCTTAGGAAAAGCTCTATAAAGCCAGGTCTTGGCTTCCTGGGGCGGGGGGAGGGGCACGCGAAGGGTGGCAAGATCCAAAGTTCAATGGGACTACAGAAGCTCCAGGGTGCGGGGCCTTAGAAGTTATATTGAGGACTCTGAACTTGACCCTAAAGACGGTGGCAGAAAAGTGTCTCAGAACAGGGTTGTTGGAGGGCCCACAGACAACAGGTGAGAGGAGAAGCCAAGAAACAGATCTGGAGGCCAGTGTCATCATGGATACAAGAGATGACAGAGACAGGACCCAACGTAACAGGGACAAAGAAGCGCTGATATCTTCTGATATGCAGTCGTCAAGGTGACAGAACCTGGTAACGGGCTGCACTGAGTTGTGATGGGAAAGAAAGAATCAAAGACGGTTTCCCGCAGGGTCACACGGTGGGTGGGGAGGCAGAGCATTACAGCCAAGAGGTTGCACTCAAAGGTCAGTTGGTCTGAATACAGAGGCTAGTGGTCAGGAGGCTAAGCACGAGTTCTTTAACCTTGGGTGCTTTATTTTCACAGACTTAGAAGAAAATAACAGGCGTTTCCTCAAAGGAGACGAACACCCATCCCATCAAACAGGACAGTTCACGTGAAACATCTGCAGAGAGCCTGCACACAGTAGGTGCACAGGTCTGCCTCTCGCCTGTGACCTGAGGCCAGGAGAAGCCCAGCGGGCAAGGGGAGCAGCATCGGGGGTGGCCGTGGCTGTGCTCATGGTGGTGCAGGCGAGGGGGGTGCTCAGCGTCCAGTCCTCACCTGTGTCTCTCACGGTGGCCCGGGAGCGAGGCGCCTTCTCTCCCCCTTTCCACACGCGAGAAGTGCCATGTCCCCAGTAAACGGCAGAATCAACTGACTCCAGAGGCCACAGTTTGTCTTTATGCTGCCTTCAAGAAAGGAAGCCCAGTTTTACAAGTATTGAATCTAACGATCCCAGGGTCAACCAAACTGAGCTGTCTGGCAGGCGGGGGGAATGCAAACAAAGATCTGGCATTTGGACCCTTCTCAAGGATGGAGACACAGACCTGAGATTCACCAGCATTCAGGCGGGAATGGAGTGGAGATGGATGAAGCTACCCAGGGCGCAGGTGTGGAATGAGACAGTACACGTGCATTATCTGCAGCGCGCCTGTGCACAGTAGGTGCGCAAATCTGCTTCCCGTATGTGATCCCCAGAGAAAAGAAGGAGCCCAGGGGCGGCCACATTCATGGCGGTCTGGAAGACCACAGACACAGCAGCAACCGGCGGCGGAGGAGGGGCCCTCAAGGCGGAAGATGAGCAAAGACAGAGAGAGAAAGTCCCCTTGATAAGTAACGATTGCCATTTCCTCGAAATTAAGGGTTAAACAGACAAAGATGCTCAGTCTTAAACTTCTAAATAGTCTATGGAGAGTCATAATTACAAAGTCAGGACTATATTTTAAATATGACGTGCTATCAGCTGTTGCTGGCACTGTTTAGCTTCTATTAAATATTACATATTTACTAATCATACTTTAAAATACACCTTTTTCCATAATCAATGATAATTATTTCAAAGAGCAAAACCTCAACAGACTGTAAAATATAAATGTGTGTTAGTATCAAGGAAAGAGTATCTATTGCAATTGTACTTTAATACAGCTTCATTTTAAATAAGTGTAATTCACTATCTTGCTTTACTGGAATTATCTTGGCCCCAAATGCTAATTTCCTAAATGTTATAATTAAAAGGAAAATCGCAAAAGGATATAATTTTTGCAGCTGTTTTTAGTGTTTTTAAATGACAGCTGGAAGTACACACACCGTGTCAGGGCCAACAAAAAGGCATAGCATACAATCTATCTGATGAGACATGACCTCTTTTGTGCATGAAAAGACATCTAGCATTTGGAGACATCACTGCACATCTTGCGAATTATATCCCTGTTATTACTGACAATGAAAACACAAGGGGGTGGGGATTTCTCCATTTGCACCATTACACTGAAAGTGAGACTGTGATTATCAAAAAGGGAAAAAAAAGAAAAATTTTAATGCCTTAAAATCAGTGGTGATGAGTTTGATACCTCTCATTTCACTTTCTGAAAGGAGGAAAGTGGCCACTGGAGTGCAGTCAGCCCTTGACTGGCAGCTGCAGGGGGAGGTGGGCAGGACATGGATGCTGAGCTCAGACCAGCAGGGAGCTCTCACCCCAGGAGGGAGGTGAGCCGAAGGGGAGGCAGCCCCCACAGGAGGTACGAGAACAGCTAAGGGGAAAGTTCTTGGTCCGTGGGGAGGCCTGGCTTTTTCCTATGTGATTTTCAGGTTATCATCAAATCCAGGCGTGACCTCATGGGTGGCCAGCCGTGAAGGTGCCCAGGGCCCGGCCCTCATGTGAGGCTCTGCTATCGTCATCCTGAAGTTCTTAATACTACATTCCATTATGCACTGAGCTCTGCAAATTATGCAGCTGGTTCTGATCAAGTATGTTTCGTTTTTGAAAGAATCTCTGCTCTGTTGCCGGGATGTTTGGACTCGGCCCAGAGTCTGATAAGGGACATGGAAAGGTGGCTGCAAACAACCAGTGTAGAAGGTCCCCTTCTCCCGCATCCTTACCAGGGCCTAGATTTTGACCACAACCACAATGGGTCCTGTAACGGTTTAGCCCAGAATGGCCAATCTCCTCACCACACTTCCACCCTTGGGAACTCCCTTCCAGCCAGTCTCAAATCACTGTACAGAAAGCAAATCCCACGGAGATTAGGGGATCTGAAGACTAAAGATAAAGTTTGGGTT